CTGCGCGCTGTCCCCGATGCTGCGCGTGGACCCGACCGGGGCCTTCATCGCCGTCCTCGCCAAACGCCGCGAGCTGTTTGTCTTTCCTTTGCTCAAAAAAGGCGCGAAGGTCGAGGAGGAGGTGGAGGCGGCCGGGGATCGCCCGACGAAGCGACGCCACCCCGTCAAGAGCGGCGCCCCCGCGGTAAAGGTGGCCGAGGCGAAGAAAAACGTCGTGAAGGTCGCCCTTGATGCATGGGGCGACGACGACGACGACGACGACGAGGAAAAGGGGGATCCCGATAAGGGTAATGATGATGAGGAGCAAGATCCAAACGGCAAGGAGGGAGAGCAAACCACCACCCCCACCGAAGGGATGGAAGAAGGGGAGGCGGCGACGGCCAGTACGGCAGTGGATTCCTCGCAGCTGGATAGCACGCTGGAGGTGATCCCCGTCGGCGAGATCCTGCATGTCGCCCTGAGCGAGATCAAAGATACGCTACGAAATGTTCGCGACCTGCAATTTGTGGAGACGAACACAGGTGAGCCATTGATGGTTTTCTTATATGAAAAGCAGCCGACTTGGGCGGGGCGTGTGAAGCTTGTGGAGTGGCGTAGCCGATCAGTTGAGGCGAACATGCTCACGTGCTCTATTTTATGGGTAAAACTCACACTGAGGGTGTTGTCTGCACAGCCCTCTCGGCTTCTGCCGATCGGCGATGTCGATCACCTACCGTTTAATACCACGCATTTGACGCCGCTTCCGGCATTTGGGAACGTCCCTTCGGCAGTGCTCGCCACCGGGCGAAATGTTGTTGTGCATGTGAGCACCAAAAGCGGATTTGGGGTCTATTTTAACCGCAATGGGCAAGAGGAGGTGCAGTACGTGCGCTCCTCTGCCACCCTTTTCGACGCCATTCGCTGGCTAGACGACGCAGAAATCAAAAAGCAAGGGGCTGAAGGCTCTTGGGATCTCACCCGCACGAATTTAAACTTCGCGAATGCCACCGTTCTCCCATTAATAACCACAGAAGGTGGATCGGCAAAGGAGCTACGTTCTTCCTCCAGCCATCCTCATCATGATCCATGTTATTTACCGCAGTTGTTATTATTTACAGAGGATATGGGGACGGTGGTGCGACTGACAATTCACACGCAAGGACATGCGGTGAGCGGGATGACGGCGAGTATTGTTTTGACCGGCTGCTTCTGCTCCTGCTATTGCGAAGTGGGGAAAGGGTTGTTCTTTTTGGGCTCTTACTATAGTGATTCTCGCGTTGTGTTGATACACCGGGAAGATAAAGGAAATAGCGAGGCGGACACCAGAGGAAACGCACAAATTACGACACCTATTACAATTCTGCAAACTATCATCGGCCTTGCGCCCGTCCACGACGCCGATCTGCTCGATTCCGCACCCAAAATGCCGAATCCTCAGGCCGCGAATGGTGGTATGGACGAAGAGTGGCGGAAGGTGCTTGGCGACTCCGTTGAGAGTTCGCCGTACGCGGAGCTCTTCCACAGCGTCGTTCTCCCGCCGTTGGAGCGCCGTCCGCCCGCGCAGCGGCAGCAGGGGATGGACCTCGTCGTCGGCACCGGGCTCGGCCCCTCCGGCGCGATTTGCGTCCTACGCCATTCCATCCGCGATAACGTTATCCGCCGGGAGGGGGTCGATGCCATCTCGGCCTTTTTCCTCGAGCCGCACCGGCATCGCGTAGGGGAGGATGGAACCCGTAAGCGATCTCGCCCAGAGGAAGGTGGAGAAGAGGCCTATCCTTTTCTCGATGATGCATCGAGCCCGGCGCATCTCCTTCTGACGGGAAACGGTTTTACAATTTTATTCGCCGTGTGGAGTGATTCCGTCCAACAGATCCGAGGAACCGTGTTGAATATCATGTCAAGAACGTTATTTGCTGCGGAATTGGTATCATCGCCGGGTCTTTTGCAGGTTACCGACGCGGAATTTCGTGTTGCCTCGTTGGACGGCAAGCGGACCTTCAAGCACGTGGTGTTTAATACCTTGGCAGGGGTTCCTAAGGATTGTGGACCGGCAAAGGCGGCTCTTCGCGTTTCTCCGTTGGACAACCATTCCTTGCAGGAATCACTGTTTGTGCATTTCGAGGGTGGTAATCTGGTGCATTTTGTGTTGGGTGACTTGAAGTCGACGACAGCCGCACACCTTGTATTCAGCGAGGTCCGCGCGGCCTGTCTACGCCCGAAACGCTCCGAGCTGGTGGTAATTCAGGGAATGGATCTCGTTTTTGTGAGCCTTGTGGATGAGCAAGTAATTCATCGCTTCCCCAACTTTGCGCTTCTTCCGCAGTACGCGTTTGAAAACGTGCAGGTCCCCGTCGCCAAACTCTCCGCGCGACTTCACGAAGAGGCTCTCCCGACGGTGACCCATATTCAGCTGTTTGAGCACCCAGACTCCACCTCCCCTGTCGGGGATGTCGTGCGAGAGGTGGAGTGCACGCTAGTGCTTCTCATTTCCTCTGGCGAGCTCCTCACCTACAAACTGCTCGCCGACGACGCACACGGGCCTCGACGTCTGCTGAAGAGCCTCCACCGCTTCTCGAACCTCAAGCCGGAGCGCGACGTACTCGAGACGATCGCGGAGAAAAAGAAGCGTCTGATGGAGGAGCGCTCGCGAGCCGAGCAGGAGGCGGTGCAGGCCCACCAAAGCAGCGAGCGGCTCATCGCCTTCGACAACATCGGCGGCTATGAAGGGATTTACGTCTGCGGACAGCACCCTTTTTTTCTCATCTACGACGCGAATCGTCGGGAGCTGGTGGCGAGCCGGCACCAAACCTCGGATGCCGTTCGGGGGTTTTGCCCCTTTCGCTCGCGCAATGTGCAGGACGGCTATGTGTACTGCACAGGGGGCTATGTCCACTTCGCGACGATGAAGCCGTTTGGCCAGCAGCTCGGGCATGGCTGGTGGATGCAGCGGGTGCCGCTTGGCCGGACCCCCCACTACGTCGCCTACAACCCGGTGGATGGGCATTGTTTTGTGGTCACCTCGACCCCGGAGCCGTTCTCGCCGAAGCGGGCGTCGTTTGACGTCCACCTGCACATCAACTACGACGAGGAGGGGAACAAGACGATCTCGGTGGAGGAGCCGGTCGCGCTGCCGCCGCTCGCCGCCGCCGCCGGCTGCCCCGTCCCCCTCAACCCGCGCTACGAGGTGCGGCTTCTCCACCCGCGGGAGGGCTGGCGCTGCGCGAGCGCCTTCGCGCTCGAGGAGAACGAGGCGGTCCTGAGCGCGCGGTGCATCGAGCTCCCCCGGGACACCTCCTTCGACGCCGCCCCGCAGTCCGCGATGACGGCGGTGCTGGCCCTCGCCACGGCCTTCCCGCTCGGGGAGCACCTCACCACGCGCGGGCGGCTGCTCCTGCTGGTCAGCCGGCGGGAGGAGGGGGGGGCGCGGCTGTCTTTACTGCACAGCGAGCCCCTCAAAGGCCCGGCGACCGCCGTGGCGGGCATGGACGGCGCCATCGCCGTCGCCGTCGGGGGGGACCATCCGCGTCTTCCGCTACGACCCCCTCGAGCGGCGGATGGAGACGCTGGCGATGCTCTACGCCGGGGCCTACGTCCTGCACCTCTCCGCCTTCCGCGAGTTCCTCCTGATCGGGGACCTGCACCACTCCCTGACCTTCGCCCGCTTCAGCGCGGCGGCCCACACGCTGACGGTGCTCGGCCGCGACCCCCACGGCG